TCCGGGACCCTCCCTGCTCTTGACCCTCCTCCACTTCCTGCCTCATGCCTCACCTTGTCCCTGGTACCTGGACTCTCTTCAGCTGCTTGGGAAATGTGACCTTTACTCTGGGGGGGCCTGAGCCTGAAGCCCCAGCCATCTTTTCTCCCTGGGGTCCTCCTTGAGCCTGTGTCCCCCAGTCCAGACCGTCCCCCAGTCCAGACCGTCCCCCAGTCCAGACTCTGGAAACTAGTTCCTGGGACCGTGCCCTGGGCACAAGTGGGCACCTGCCCTAGCCCCACCTGTGCCTGGGGCTGCGGCCCTTTCCCACAGGGTGCTCATCATGGCCCCGCCACTCCTATTGCTGCTGCTGGCCAGTGGAGCCGCCGCTTGCCCGCTGCCCTGCGTGTGCCAGAACTTGTCGGAGTCGCTCAGCACCCTTTGTGCCCACCGAGGCCTGCTGTTTGTGCCACCCAACGTGGACCGGCGCACAGTTGAATTGCGCCTGGCTGACAACTTCATCCAGGCCCTGGGACCGCCTGATTTCCGCAACATGACAGGTCTGGTGGACCTAACGTTGTCTCGAAACGCTATCACCCGCATTGGGGCCCGCTCCTTTGGGGACCTGGAGAGCCTGCGCTCCCTGCATTTGGATGGCAACAGGCTGGTGGAGCTGGGCAGCAGCAGCCTACGGGGCCCTGTCAACCTGCAGCACCTCATTCTCAGTGGCAATCAGCTGGGACGCATTGCGCCAGGGGCCTTTGATGACTTCCTCGACAGTCTCGAGGACCTGGATGTATCCTATAACAATCTCCGGCAGGTCCCCTGGGCTGGCATAGGTGCCATGCCTGCCCTGCATACCCTTAACCTGGACCATAACCTCATCGATGCGCTGCCCCCAGGTGTCTTTGCCCAACTTAGCCAGCTTTCCCGCCTTGACCTCACCTCTAACCGCCTGGCCACACTGGCACCTGACCCACTCTTCTCCCGAGGACGGGATGCTGAAGCTTCACCTTCCCCCCTGGTGCTGAGCTTCAGTGGGAACCCACTGCACTGCAACTGTGAGCTGCTGTGGCTGCGGCGGCTGGCCCGGCCTGATGACCTGGAAACCTGCGCTTCTCCACCAGCCCTGGCAGGCCGCTACTTCTGGGCAGTGCCTGAGGGAGAGTTCTCCTGTGAGCCTCCGCTGATTGCCCGCCACACACAGCGCCTATGGGTGCTAGAGGGTCAGCGGGCCACTCTACGATGCAGGGCACTTGGTGACCCTGTGCCCACCATGCACTGGGTTGGCCCTGATGACCGGCTGGTTGGCAACTCTTCCCGAGCCTGGGCTTTCCCCAATGGGACCCTAGAGATTGGGGTGACAGGCGCTGGAGATGCAGGAGCCTATACCTGCATCGCCACCAACCCTGCTGGCGAGGCCACAGCCCGAGTGGAGCTCCGGGTGTTGGCCTTGCCCCATGGTGGGAACACCAGTGCTGAGGGGGGCCGTCCTGGGCCCTCAGACATTGCTGCCTCTGCTAGAACTGCTGCCGAAGGCGAGGGGACTTTAGAGTCTGAACCAGTCCTGTCAGTGACGGAGGTGACTGCCACCTCTGGCCTGGTGAGCTGGGGCCCGGGGCGGCCGGCTGACCCAGTGTGGATGTTCCAAATCCAGTACAACAGCAGCGAGGACGAGACCCTCATCTACCGGTGAGGATGGGCCCTTCAGCCCGCTTTGTTTACTGTGCCTCCCTGCTGACCCTGTGTCCCCAAGCCCTGCCTGTCCCCCCTCCAGGCCTGTACCTGCCCCTCCTCTACTTCCAAATTCTTGGAGCATAGCTGGCCCGGCTCCCTGGGGCAGAGGAAGGGGGCAGCTGCTTTATAAGCTGTTCAGGTGTGGCTGTGTGTGCATCTGCCTTCCTGACCATCACTTACGGCAAATGGGGTGTCTGCTGAAGCACATGCCCCGCACACTAGGGTGTTTCTATCTCTGCTTGGTGCCACCCTGCCCCAGCTCTTATTGCCTGAGGCCTGTGTCAGTGCATGCTCCTGTCTGTGACCTGACACTACCCTACAAATGGTTGCCTGTCATCTCTGCCTTGCTGAGGGACACAGGCCTGTGTATTGACAGGCATTACAGGCCTGAGGGGCTGTCTAGGGCAAACATGAGAGGTGGGAATGGGGCCTGTATCCCACCCTGGGCTCTGACCACCTGCCCTTGCCTGCAGGATCGTACCGGCCTCCAGCCACCACTTCCTGCTCAAGCACCTGGTTCCTGGTGCTGACTACGACCTCTGCCTGCTGGCCCTGTCACCTGCTGCTGGGCCTTCCGATCTTACAGCCACCAGACTGCTGGGCTGTGCCCACTTCTCTACGCTACCAGCCACACCCCTGTGCCATGCCCTACAGGCCCATGTGCTGGGCGGGACCCTGACTGTAGCAGTGGGGGGGGTCCTGGTGGCCGCCTTACTGGTCTTCACTGTGGCCTTGCTGGTTCGGGGCCGGGGAGCTGGGAATGGCCGCCTCCCACTCAAACTCAGCCATGTCCAATCCCAGACCAATGGTGGCACCAGCCCCATGCCCAAGAGCCACCCACCACGGAGCCCTCCACCCCGTCCCCAGCGCAGTTGTTCCCTGGACCTGGGAGACACTGGTGGGTGCTATGGGTATGCCAGGCGCCTGGGAGGAGCCTGGGCCAGGCGGAGTCACTCTGTACATGGGGGGCTGCTGGGAGCTGGGTGCCGGGGTGTGGGGGGCAGTACAGAGCGGCTGGAGGAGAGTGTAGTGTGACAGGAAGGGCAGCCTCTTGTGCCCTGAGGAAGGAGCAGTGCCACTGTTGGGCCCAGGTGGCAGCACCCAGCCTGGGTGGGCAGCACGGCCCTGGGCCCCACTCTGCTTTTTATCCTCAGTACCTCAGGCTCCCCAAGTACTTGGTGGGACAGCAAGCCCTTTCCTTGGTTTTGGCCTCCAGACTAAAGGGACAGGTCCCACCAACAGGTGCTCAGAGCCACCAAGGCAGGGGCTGCAGCCACCAAGAGGGAGTCTTGTTTCTATTTATAATAAAATTGTTGGGGACACTTCAGTGTAAATGTTTGCTCTCATTCTGCTTGGTCCCTGGGAAGGAGGGAGGCAGGTTGTTAGAGGTCACAGACCAATACAGGCTAAAGCTGCCAGGCCGAGCAGAGTTGGTCCTCATAGCGCAAGACTCACAGCCAGCTATGGGGGAAGCCCAGGCAATAGTCAAGAGCTGGTATCTACTGGTCTTGCCAGAAGGTAGGCATTAGTCCGGGACTATTGGGAAGGTTCTGTGTGAGATGGCACCACCCAGCTGTACTAAGATACACAGCTGTATGCTGGGCTTTCCTGGAAAGCTGGCATTGACCTGCTGGGTAGGGTGATGCCTGGCTGGGCTCCACAGCCTGTTTATAATTGACAGCTGTTCAGATAGGTCAGTCCTGCATGGGCACCTGCATGCTTAATGGAAATGCAAAAGTAGACACTGGCATCCCTGACCTGCCAAGCAACCTAAAGAGCATTCTACTATGCATCTACAGCATGCAGCCAAGCTTACACATACCCAGCCTCCTGGCACCAAAACATACCTAGACATGACCTAGAGAAATACTGGGTTAAGGCCCTTGAGGTAAATATGCGAAAGATGGGAGACGAATATGTAGGAAGGGGACAGACATAGGCCCCAAATCCTGCTGCTGTTCCTGTGGTCATGGATCCTGCTGTCCCCGTTCTCACCCTTGGAAGAGGATGCTGGGATCTAAGCACACTGGGATATAGGACAGGTGTGTAAGGTTGTGTGGCTCAGGGTACCTGCACTAAGGGTGGAAACGGGTATCCAGGGTACAACCTAAAACCCAGGGACAGCCCAGTGTATACCCCACATCCTGCCTTCCCTGGTCAGTCACAGGAAAGACAGGCCCCAGAGCAAGAGACAGTGAATCCAGGATGTAGGGAGCTGGTTTTACAGCATACCTCTGCCCCCAGGGCAACCCGGACCTCAACAGAGTCTCTGAGCTCTGAACAGCAGAATGTAGACCCAGCATCTAGGAAAACACTGACCTCTCCCCAAGATGGACTGTGGGAGACAGGCTGCTCTGCCCCACCCCACAGGACAGTGAAAAAAAAAATTACTGAACATTGTGGGGACAGCACTGTCATGGTGGGCCCATAAGCCACCAAACTTCAGCAGCAATCAAGGGCTGGAAGAGTTCACACAGAATATGAGGTCAGCACTTAGCACTGCCCATACAGCTAGAACACCCTGGAGGAGCCTCTGGAAGAGGCGGGAGGAACTCAATGGGCTAGGGGCCTAAGCCCATACTCAAGTGTGCCCCATAGGACGTGATTAGGTGCTGGCTTCAAAGGACAGTACAGCAATTCTCCGCTGTGAATTTGTCTCTAGCTGCAGAAACCAGTTACACACAGAGCCCAACAAGGAGGTAATGGACACCTCAAGGCTCTTGCTGTCAGGCAGCTACTGTGGCCAGAGCCTTGTCCCTCATATGTTTCTTGGCTACTCTGAAGCACCTGCCATTGCAGATGCTAGGACAGGAGAGCTGGGCACTGGCTGAGGGCCTGACCTCATCCGTCAGGGAGAGAGCTCTTGCCCAGGGATCCATGCATACATGGAGACCCAACAATCTGAGAACAGGTAGGAGAGATTACTATGCCACTGAGACTAAGAGCAAGGCAAGGACAATGCAAACAGCACACCTGCCACTTGGTAATTCTTGACCAAATGGACCCACTGTGGGCAAAGGCAGGGGGAAGACGCAACTTCTCACCTTTACCCCTCGGACACGGAACTCAGCCAGGGCTCTGCTCATCTTGGTAGCAGCTGTGGGGTGGTCTTTGCCATGGGCGATGACTTTGACAAGCAGAGAATCATAGTGGGGTGAGATGACAGCCCCTTGGAAGGCAGAGGCATTGTCCAGGCGGATGCCCATGCCCTCACCACTCCGGAAAACCTGTCAGAAGGAAGCCCAAGTCAGCAGCTGGGACAGAAACTGGGATAAACTGGGCTCCCAGCATGACCCCCAGAGGGCTGAGCTCAGAGAGCCCATCCTTGGCCAGTCAAGTTTCCTTCTGAGTCCATGAATTCACTCTTGTGCTGCAACAAGGAAGGGACAGGAAGAAATGCCCCATGGGCTCCTAGGTCATGCACGGCCCAACCAGCAGCCCAGGGAGGAAGGGGCCAGATCCCACGACCTTCCACCACTGCCTGAGAACCCTCCCTCCTTGCAGACACAGTGTGTGCCCACCATCACTTCCGGAGCAGCACACAATGCCTACTACCAGCTGCTCACTGGGGATGAAGCAGCTAAAGCAGTCCCTGACCTAACAACCGTGGGACAGACAGAAGTACACAGACTACAGGTCCATGGGCAGGCTGACCAAGGAAGGCTACTGTTGCTTTGTTTTCCTTTTGGTTTTTGAGACACCACTATGTAGTCCAGGCCAGCATGAACTTACAATGTAGCCTAGGTTGGCCTTGAACTCATGATGACTCTCCTGCCTTAGCCTTCTGAGTGCTGAGTGCTGAAGTCACAGGTGTGCACAACCACACCCAGCTTGGTTTGTTTTTGTTGTTTTTATTTTTAATGTAGAGAGGGAAGGGAAGGTGGGAGAAAGAGCAGAGGGGAAGGAAGGAGACACCGAGATGAAACACAGTGAAGGAAACACACCCAAGCTCATCAGGAAACACAAGAGAGGCAAGCAAAAGGCAAATGGCAGACACAGATGGGGTTGAGGTCTGGGGTAGCTACACTTGCACACATGGGTGAGTGTGCTCAGGACAGGCATGGGGCAGGTAGGGGAGCTGGGGTTCACAGAGAAATTGAGGGAGGTAAGCCAGAGGAACTGGCCTGGGAACACCCTCAGCATCACCCTTCAGCTGCTAAGGGCACAAGCTGTGTTCAATAAAGAACTTCATGCAATATTTAAGGGTGGACACTCAGCTGTGTGCAGGAACCACCATCTAAAAATACCTTGTGGTGACCAGCTCTAACGCTAGCCCCTGGCTGTGGAGGTGGAGAGAAACAGTAACCCTGCAGCCCCTTCCCAGACAAGGGCAAAGGAGCCAGGGCTATATATAAGGCAGTACCAGCCCAAGGCTGCTCCACCTAGGGAGTCAGAAATGAACACAGATGATTATGGTGGCCTTGGGCTCTTGAGGCCATCAGAATGGACCTAGCACCCTGCTCCTGCCCCATACTCAAGCATACTACTTTTGGATATTCTTGCAATTCTGGAATCAAGTTCATGCTCATCATTGCTGCCACTGTACCCTGGACACTAGTGCCAACCCTGAGTGCCTCTGTGTCCTGCATCCCCTGACCAGTAGACAGTGCTGTCCACATGCAGGGAGAGGGAGCAGGATGGAGCCACAGACAAGGGAATGTAAGGGACAAGTAGCTGAGCCCAAGGTTCCAATCCTGATGGGAGGAAAATGGACAGAGCTGAGGTGAACTCCGTCCCTCAGTACCGCCCTCTGAAGAACTCTTTTGCTCACTCCCAAGTGGCCTTCTACTTGACTCACCCTGCCACAGACCCCTGTTCTCTGCTCCCCACAAGGTCCTGCCTTGCCAGCCACTCCTTACCCCTGACAGAAGGAGGGTAGAGACCAGCAGGGCATCAGGGCCAAGGCTTCACATCTGGGGGACCCCATTCCTAGGTGATCTGCTAGCTTTCCATAGAATGCTCTTCACTCACTCTAGGACATTACTGGGTTCCCATATGCTCTAAGCAGCTGCACCTGGAACCCTGGGTGATAACCTGGGCACCATGGAGAGGCTGTGAAGAATGTCAACCCAGGCTGGAGCTGGTGGCACACTTTTGTCACCTACCTCAATGCGGCCAGTGTCAGGCTGGAAGCTACGTGCAGGGTCCTCAGTGGTGACTCGACACTGAATGGCACAGCCATTGATGCGGATGTTCTCCTGCCTCAGGCCCAGGTCAGGCAGGCTCCGGCCCTCAGACACATGGATCTGAGCATGGACCAGATCTACACTGCAAATGAGGAGGACACCAGGGAGGGAGGAGAATGAGGTGAATTGAGGAGAAGAGGTTCTGTGACCCACACAGGCCAATGCTACTGCACCCTCCTCTTAGCCCAAGTATCCTGAGGTCCTCTACCTGGTGGTCCTACAGCCTGCCCTGCTTGCCCCAGGGCACTGGGAGAAAACAGCCCCTTAAGAAGCTTCCAGAAGACAGGTAACTACCTGCCCTTCATCCTCCTGATGGCCTCTTCCAATACCCTGTCTGCCTGCCCTTGCCCTAAGGTAACTCCTGCTTCCATATGACACCAAGATTGGCAGTATAGGCAGAGGTCACGGTCACAGGGTTGGAACACCCAGCATTGGAGCATAGGGGCTACCCTGGGTATGGGGGGGGGCAGGCTGAAAAATGAGAATCACAAGGCCAGGTATTGGTATGTGTTGGTATATGTCTGTAATCTCAGCGATAGGTAGAGGCAGGACAAGTAGAAGTCTAAGGTCACCCTTGGCTTACAACAAGCTTGAGGCCAGCGTAGGCCTCAGGAAACCCCATCTAATTAATAAACAAACAAATAAATAAATAATCAAAACCGCAAAACAGGACCAAACGTCAAACAAGCAAAAACAGGGAACTGTATTAGTTGGAGGCCTCAAGGCTCTCCATGTTTTCATGGTGGTATGAACCGAGCCTGAGCAACAGCCGCTCTCTAAAAGGGTATCAAATCCAGGCAAAAGCTGTTAATGCAAGGCCCTCCAGATTTAATGCACTGTTTTTGAGGCTCATGGCCAGTATTTTACTGGCAATCTGGCCTCCATACTCCATGTCACCTGTGAAAGAAGAGTGGTATTGATAGTCAACATGGTACCCACTCTGCAGGCCACAGACACTGCTTGCTAGATCTCCATGGTAGTAATCCCCCATCAGAGGAGCTTGAGGGTCAGAGAGGCCACAGCTAGCCCAACCTGCACATGGCTCAAGACCTGAGGACTCTGACACCTGAGCAAGCAAGTCCTTGACAGAGCAGCACCAAGAATAGACCAGGGAACATGGCTGGAGTATCACTGAGTGAATCTAGTGAGCCAGGCGTCTGTGGGCTTCTGGATATGTACTAGGCAAAGGCAGCTACTAGGCAGCATCATCATTACTTTTGAGTGGGCCAAGGAGAAAACCAGATCAGGAATGTTCCATGGTAAGGTGGACTGGTTCAATACCAAGGATTAATACTGAAATGACTCAAGATACGTATCTTGAAGCTGGTCATTGATGGTGCACACCTTTAATCCCAGCACTCAAGAGGCAGAGGCAGGCAGATCTCTGTGAGTTCGAGGCCAGCCTGGTCTACAGAGTGAGTTCCAGGACAACCTCCAAAGCAACACAGAGAAACCCTGTCTCAAAAAACAAAAAACAAAAAACAAACAAACAAAAAAAAAGTATCCTGGAATAATGAAAGCTGTTTTCACAGTTTATAAAAATAAGTAGATTTTCTAAGTCTGTACTCTGGTGCAAATTTGGGCAGATGTTAATAGACATACCCTGAACCACAAAAGCCAGAGCAGTACATTGTCCAACAGAAAACAAGATAGCAGAATTATTACACGTACAGATAATGAAACAGTCCACAGCCAGTAAAAGTATTCATGAGAATAATGGTGTAGGAATGCCTTCAGCAAATAAATTTTTTGTTGTTGTCATTTTGTTTTGTTTTGTTTTGAGACAGGGTCTCCTCTACATAGCCTGTGCTGTCCCTTGAAATCACTATGTAGATCAGGTTAGCCAGATATGCCTGCCTCTGCTGGGATTAAAGGTGTGAGCCACCATGTCTGGCCAAATAGCAAGTTTTAAAGGAGAGTAAAATTTCTAGGGGCTGGAGCGATGGCTCCGCAGCTAAAAGCACTGGCTGTCCTTGCTGAGGACATGGGTTTGGTTCTAGCACCAACATGGCAGCTCACAGCCCTCTGTAGCTCCAGTTCTGGTGGATCAGAGCCCTCTTCTGGTCTCTGTAGGCAATGGCACACCTGTGGTGACCATCCATGTAGGCAAACACATACATATAAAAATAAAATACATAAATCTTTTTTTGTAAATCAATCTAAGGGGCTGGAGAGATAACTCAGCAGTCAAGAGCACTGACTACTCTTCCAGAGGACCTAAGTTCAATTCTCATCATACACCTAGAGCTCACGACTTTCTGTAATTCCAGTCCTGAGGGATCTATGCCCTCTTCTGGTCTCCATGGGCACTGCATCACATTGCTCACAGACACACTGAGGAAAACATTCATACACAAAATAAAAATAAATGCCAAAAATTGTTTTAAGTCTAAATAAATGTCTAATTGGCATAAAACTATATATAAACAAAGATGGAAAAAATACTTAAAGGCTATGCCTGGGCATACAGAATGTCACAGAACTGAAGGCAAGGCTAGAGAGACTGAGTCCACCATGTGGACTTGTGTAATTCTCTTAACCTCTTTCTGAGCCTTGGTCTATTCATCTGTAAAATGGGCTGACAGGTCCCTTCCTCACAAATACAGCCAGGAGGGCTCCATGGAGTGCGTTGTAGTATCTAGCCTCCTCATTGTGAGGGATGGGTAAGCTCTTTTAGTGAAGTCCCTAGGTCCACTAAAGTGAGAGCAAATGAACCCTTGCCCCTGCCCCTGCCCCTGCCCCTTTCCCAACCCTGCCCCTGCCCCTGCCCCTACCCTAGGCCCCGTGCTCACTCTGTGATCTCCTCAGTGACCGTGTGCTCCACCTGCAGGCGGGAATTGACCTCGATGAAGTAGTGCTTTCCATGCTTATCCACCAGGAACTCCACAGTGCCTGCGTTCTCGTATCCCACCTGCAGGGTTGGCCAGTAAATAGAGGTTCCCAGGGTCAGGACTGTGCCACACAAGCCTACCCACAACACAGGTTCTGCAACAGAAGAGCTTGTGGCAATCCAGCCACCTACCATCAGCTCTCCTGCAGTGGCCAGCACCCAGGACCCAATATATACCTCCACCCCTACACTCTGTAGGCTCAAGGTTCCACTGGAAGCTACTAAGTCCAGGCCACACCCAGCAAGTCTGGGTGAAGACATGCCCCAACCCACCCTAGACCTTCACTATTGCTTTCGAAGCCGTCTCCTCCCTCCTGCAGTCCTGGGCCTCCCAGCCCGCTTCTCCACTACAGAAGGGTTTTCCTTTCCCCCTGTGCTAGTCTGTCATCTCTGACCAGTGTCCCCATTCTGGCCATCGCCTCAAGTGATGCCACTCGAGGACTAGCAGTGGTGATGCAACTCTACTTCCATTCCATTTCTGGTCCTTCCAGAATAATACACCCACTCCCTAGAGTCTGAGCTGCTATGATTAATGGCATTGGCCAAAAGAACAGAGCAAGGCCAAAGTGAGGTTGCTCCTCTGTGGCAGCCCCAGCTCTACCAGTCCTTGACAGTGCTCTGCTCATTGCTGAGCCATGTCTCAGAACCACTCTGTTCCCATTGTCCTGAACCCTGGCTGCCTACAGCTGGAGGCCATGGAGCTCAAACCTGGGATAATGTGACACACGTGGAGATGGGAAGTCTAAGTGGGGAAGGTGTAGGTGGTACCCTGCTGCCATGGCCAGTGTTCCCGGGCCAGGCTGGGGCAAGTCATTGCTTATGGGCACAGCTCCCACCTCCACACCCAGAATCCACTCCACCAGCTAAGCCGAGACTGCCAGAGACACCTCGGTGAGGGAATGGGCAGCAGAGGTTAGGAGCCAGTGATGAGGACATTCCATAACTGCCAGAATCTAAGGACTATCATTCTCTTTACAGTGACCAGGGTGAACTGGTGCAACAGAAAAGTTAGTCTGTATAGCAAGAGTAGAAGGAATGGCCAGCATGCCTCCCCTTGGGGCCAGGTACTTCTGCTATCACTGAGGGTGACAAGCACTGCTTCCAACCTCAAGAAGATATCTGCACCCTTTCCTCCCTGCAGGGCCTTCCTCCTTCCTTCAACAGGGAATGCTTATACCTCTAAGCCATGAGAAAATCTGGGCAGAGGTACCAAGAAAGTTTTCAAATATGGACTCATGTCCACAGGAGCATGTCCTCACCTGCTTGGCAAGTTTGACAGAGTCACTGGTGAGGCGTGAACGAAGTTGGGGGTCCAGGTGGGCAGCAGGAGCAATCTCTACCACCTTCTGGTGCCGTCGCTGGATGGAGCAGTCACGCTCATACAAGTGCAGGATGTTCCCATATTGGTCCCCTGAGCATACAAGAAACTGGATTCAGTCTTCCCTAGAATTCAAGTGCTTTCTCCTACATGCCCTCTGGCCCCTTGGGTACTGTGGCTACTTGGCCACCTGACTTCTGCTCTGTCCCAGGGCCCCTTTCCAGATGGTGGTCCCTGGAAAGGCTGTCCCAAAAGTTGTTGCTGTAACCAAGGGAGATCTAGGCTTCTCCTATTTCACACAACTCCCCACTCACCCAGGATCTGCACCTCGATGTGCCGTGGTTTCTCAATAAACTTCTCCACAAATAGTGCCCCATTCCCGAAGGCTGCCAAGGCCTCAGAGTAGGCTCGGGTGTAATTCTCCTCCAGCTCCTAGAAGGGCAGGGAAGGCCAGGAAGACATGGGACCACTGTGTACCCTCTGTGGCCAGTTCCCAGAGCCCACCATGGGATGCCTGCCTGGCACCCAGCCCTCAGCATACATGCAGTCCTGCTCACCTCATAGCTGTGCACAACCCTCATGCCACGGCCCCCACCTCCGTAGGCAGCCTTGAAGATAATGGGGAAGCCATAAGTGTTGGAGAACTCATGGGCCTCATGCAGGGAATTGATGGGGGCATCAGTGCCAGGGACCACTGGGACACCTGTTGGGAGGGTACAGGGGTCTCTGTAATGGGCTAAATCTCTGTTACATCTTGTCAGGGAAACAAACTCTCACAGTGGCCCCTCTCTACTATCCCCAGGGGGAGTTGTGTGTCACCTGCAGCGATGGCAATGGCCCGGGCCTCCACCTTGTCTCCCATCTTGCGGACCACCTCTGGACTTGGCCCAATGAACCGGACTCCAGCATCCTGGCAGGCCTGAGCAAAGTCTGCTCGCTCTGAGAGGAACCCATAGCCAGGGTGCACAGCATCTACACCATTCTCCTGTAAGTGGTAGGAGAAACACCTGTATGCCTTCCTCTTTCTCCTTTTCCTGCTGTGCTGTACTCTACCTCCACCCCCTACACACATCCTACTGGTGGGTGTGGGTGCAGGGCACAACACAGAATATTGTCCAGGAGACCCTGGCATCTCCTAGGCCAAGTTGATTCTACCTTGGCCACCTTGATGATGTCTGGGATGTGCAGGTAGGCCTGCACAGGTGCCAAGCCACGACCAATAAGGTAGGCTTCATCAGCTTTCTGTCGATGCATCTGGCCTGTGTCCTGCTCTGAGTAGACGGCCACTGTGCGGATGCCCAACTCCGTACAAGCACGAAACACTCGGATGGCAATCTCACCTAGGACAAGCAGGGTGAGCAGTTAGACTTCTGGGTCCAGAGAGAAACACAAAAGAGACAGGCAAGGCAGAGTGAGGTGGAGGCCAGACCAGGCTGGCCTAGGCCCTGAATACTGGTAGTACTTACTCACCTCTGTTGGCCACCATGACTTTCTTAATAGGTTTGTACTCCAGGCGCCGGACATTTGGGGAGGCAACTGGGGCAGAGGAGGAACGGCGGACACCCAGGAGCCTCAGGCCCCCTCGAACTGTTTGGAACTTCAGCATCTGAGGAGGGGCAATCAGGGTCCAGTTAGAGCAGGTTAGGTACTGAGCACCCCACATCCAGAAAGACAGTGGGACCCTAACCCTCAGAAGACCACAAAGAAGACAGTGCCATCTCCAATTCCATTTGTGGTAGGTTTCTGGAGAGCAAGCAAACCCAACCCAGTGGAGCTCAGCACAACTTAACAGCCTCATGCTTAGCACAGTGTTTACATTTCAAAGGCTACAGAGTGACCCTGCCTGGTGTGCATCTTGATTGTTCTGTACCCAGGCTCACTCCCCTACTCTCCACCAACATCCACTATGGACTTCTTCCATGTGTTGATTCTGTCAACCTGCTATCTCAGGAAGTGGCCTTGGCTCTCAGCTAAAACGCAGCTTTCTTCAAACAGAGGCCTGGACCTTTCTTCTACTGAAGGATAGCAAGTAAAATATTCATGACAACCACAAAGGACAAGTCAAGGGGCTGGTCACAGTGACACCTGCCTTGGGATTCCACTGACAGTGGGTCCTAGAGTGGTTACGATGGTGCGACAGGCTGATGAAGAGAGGAGAGAGGGCACTGTTCTAGGCTGAGGTAGGATAGGATAGGGAGCTGTATTTAACATGGACAAAGTTTCAGGTCTGTAACATGAAAAGAACTTAGTAGATGGTGGAATGGCTGGGAATGGACTTAAGCCACTGAACTGTACACTGGCTGAGACAGTAAATCTGGCATTGTGTACTATACAGCAACATAATTTTTAAAAGTCAACTGAAGACAAATTATATACCACAAATGGGTTTCATAGCTGACCACTCCTTTTAAAAATTAAAGACACATGGGCTGGAGAGATGGCTCAGAGGTTAAGAGCACTGACTGCTCTTCCAGAGGTCCTGAGTTCAATTCCCGGCAACCACATGGTTACTGACAACCATCCGTTATGAGATCTGGTGCCCTCTTCTGGTGTGCAGATATACATGGAAGCAGAATGTTGTATACATAATAAATAAATAAAATCTTTAAAAAGTAAATAAATAAATAAATTAAAGACACAGCTAAATGTGGTGGTTCACACCTGTAATCCCAACTATTCAGGAATCTTAGGCAGGAGGATTGCTGAGTTTGGATACATAGTAAGTTCCAGGACAGCTTGAACTTCAGTGTGATTCTACACCCACTCCCTCAATAACAACAACAAAAATCAAAAGAAAGCTACAGAGGTGGGAAGAAGGGAGAGAGGGATGAAGGAGAGAAGGAAAAGATAGACAACCAGGCCCAGGAAAGAAGGAGAAGACAGAGCAGGGCCCAAGTCTGCATCTGGTCTCTCCACTCAGACTTTGGCCTTTCTGTAACTGAATGATTCGGTTCTTGGTAAAAAGTAAAAATGCTTGACTCAGCCACTTTTTTTTTTAACACAAAAGCAAACTCAATAAATAAAACAAACATTGCAGGAAACCTAATGTCACAGGGACAGCCAGCAATACAAAGGAGGGAGACCACAGAACAGATAGAGAAGGCATGAGCAAGTCTTACACAGAGGAGGCAGCAGGAGGGTGGCTGCAAGTCCACCTCTACCCACAAGGCACAGAAAGAGCCTGATCTCCTGTGAGATCCCACAGAAAAGAGAGAGAAACACGCACAAGAATGCCTCTGACCAAACAAGCGATGAAAAAGTTACTCAAAGGTCATGTCTTTGAATGTCCTGGGGGAAAGATGGTTACTGCAGCTGGGTATCACAGATGATTCTCTGAGAAGGGGACACAGGAGCTGGAACCTGACCAGGGAAAAAAGAAGTGGCAAGTGAGAACAGCAAACGCCAAGGCTCCAAGGGAACAAGCTTGGTACAATGAAGCAAGCTTCACAGACAGGAGCTAGAGGGCAAGGAGCCCTGTGTGAAATAAGGCTGAAGGCATGGACAGACATGCTGGTCACTGCCTCCCTCAGGCCATGATCAGGTCTAAGAGGGTTTGGAAACATCCTGGCAGGGTAGAGATGGGGACAGAGGGTGTCCATCAGACCGTCCCAGAGGCTGAGGAAAGACACACAGCCTCTGACTAATAGTGTGGGCCATGAAATTAGGCTGGTGTCAGGGAAGGGTGTTGGGTACAGCAGGCAACATTCACTAAGAGATCCACTGAGTTGAGGAATGAATGAAGTCTGTTCAGTGAATGGGCCAACACAGGAAGACTGTAGAGGTATAAGCAGTGATAGGAGTGAAGGAAGAAGAGCAAGGGAGGAAAACTTGGCACTGTGATGACAGCTGATGTATGAATCCAGGCTGAGGATGTACTGTAGAATCAAAAGGGCCTGCCTGTCCTTTTCTGCTTGACTAGGAGGAAGCGCCAACAAAGAGACAGCTACCCAAGAGCATTGACGACGAAGGTCAGGAATATAGTGTCAGTCCTGAGCCAGAGCTCATGTCCTGAGAAACAAGGGTCAGCCATGATCTCTGAGAGGCAGAATAAGGCTTTGAGGCAATCCTCAAGTTTGTGTCTGTCCCAGGTAACATGCAGCAGCCAGGGCGGGCAGGGACATATAACTTATCTACACAAAAGTATATGTGTGTGTAAAGTGGGGGAGGGGGCACAACTTGCTGGATTCCAGGCTTGAAAACTGGGGGAACACCTTGCTGGACTCCAAGCTCCAAAAGTGTGTGTTGGGGGGTCACCTTGCTGAACTCCAGGCTTCAAAAGTGGGTTGTTACCTTGCTGGACTCCAGGCTCCAGTCTTCCTAAAATAGCTTATATCTTGACTTACTGTAGTTGTGTCTTATCTGGATAGTGCTAAACCCCATGGCAGCTATGGCTCTTTTTTTTTTTTAAGTTTCACATAGCCCAGGCTAGCCTAAAAATCCATAAATAGTCAAAGACAACTGTGAACTCCTGTTGCTCAGGCCTCTAACTCCCAAACATTGGGATTACAAGATTGTACTACCACATGTGGCTGCAAAAATGTTTTTCTTTTAATATATGTTCCATAATAAAGTTTAACTTAGAAATTACAAACAGAGATTAACAGGAATTAATAATTAGATAGAACCATAACAAATGCTATAACACAACTATGCGAATGTGATCTTTCTCAGGTCTCCCTGTGGATCTTAGCAACTCAGCATATATTTTTCTCCTCAGTAACTCAAGAACATTCACCTTTTCACTTAAACAAAACAGATAGCTTCCCCCTGGCAAATCTTAGTTGTCAGTCTCATTTCTCTTGTGTTTTGGGGCTACTAAAGTCAAATACTAGTTACCCAAACACAAGCAGTTCCACAGTAGTCAATGATGACTGAGACACTACTAACCAACCAGCAAGCAGGTAGCAAATACAGCATGGAGACCCTGCACAAAAGGATAATTCTCAATTTGGGTGGGAGGTGGCAAGATATTATTACATACCCAGTACAGCATACCACCTAAAACTTATGGCTTGTTTATTTCTAGAATTTTCCATTTAATATTTTTGGACCATAATTTGCCATTGATAACTGAACTGAGGAAAGAGGAATTGGTGGATCCGAATGCTAACCACAGTGTGGACAGACAGGGCCAGCTGTTCACTGATTAAGAGATGACAGTCCAGCACCAACACCAAAGTGACATTGTTGGTACCTCCTGAAGTTATCCACCAAGATGGAAGCCACACTCCTACAGGGCTCCGCCTCAGATACACAACCCAGGTTTAACTAAAGCCTAACTCCCATATTTTGTTCAATGGAGGCACACTATTTTTCCCAAGACTATTTTTATTGCTTCAAATGTGTGAAATTAATGTTTCAAAATTAATGCTTCAAATATGTGAAAGACGCCAGGAATTATGGCATACACCTTTAATCACTCAGGAGGCAGAAGCAGGTGGATCTCTGTGAGTTTGAAGCCAGCCTGGTCTACAGAACTATGTGAGAGACCCCACCTCAAAACAAACAAAAAAACAAAAAACCCAACAATAACAAAAAACAAACATGTAAAAGTTCATATGAGACATGGACTCCAGAATCAGTTCAGATGAAAAGAAGCCGAAAAGACAACTAGGCGCTGACTGGACCCTGGACTTTTATAGCCAACAAGGGTACAAAGAGACTACTGACAAAGTTTAAACAAGGTCTGTAAGTTACACAGTATGGTGCCGGTGGTCAATGGTTAGGAGAAGCTCTGACAGAAACAAAATAGACAGCACATGAGGCTTTCCCTTACCAAATATCCAAATACTGAAATACAGCAAGGTACTGCCCTTGCCCATGAAGTCACAACAACTTCAGAAAGGAGAACATTCCTAACTGAAAACACTGCATAAGTCATACCTCCAGGTCCTGTCCGGTTACCCTGGAAGCCCTGGTTCAATATATCCAGAGCCTTCAAGCCAGGCCCACTGATACAATGAATGATCTCAGCACTTTCGAGCCTGAGAAAGGCGGGTTAAGAGTTCAAGGCCAGTCTGAGCTCCAGTGCAAAATTCTGGGATACAATGCAAAATGATGGTTTCCTTCATTTCTTGATGCCACGTCTTGTTATAATATAACCCAGGGTCACTTGAATTTACTGTATAATCCTCCTGCATCAACATCCCAAGGGCTGGGATTATAGGTGTGGGCCACTAAGCCTAGTTTTAACAAAATAAAAGCTTTCACAATATTTACAAAATCACATGAAAGAGGGAGGGGCAGTGTTGGGAGGGTGTGAGGAGAGTGGAAGGGGAGTTGGGATGGATGTAACCAAGATATGTTGTAAAAACATGTTAAATATCAAAACATAAAGTTAAAATTCTTTTTAAAATGTACGTCTCCTGTTCCTTGGCTGGGTCATTTCTACTCCAGGAACCCAGAATATCCATATTCTGAAACAGGGACTGAGATGTGAAGGTGTTCAAAACAACGCCATTTACAAGAGTAAACAAGAAGGGATTTAAAGTCCGATTGGAATGTTTATGATACAATGTGAAGTTAAGAAAATGAAAGGTAAACTATACCATCTTATGAAGTTTTTTTTTTTTTTGAAGCAAGGGTGGCAACTGGTGAGATTGTGAC